GATTTTAGCTGTAAGTAGAAGTTTTTCTTTGGACTGGTTTAAGCTAAGGCCCTCTTTCTTGTCACGCACAGACAGGGAAATACTGCAAGACGTCGGATTAGCTTGTTCGCTTTTCATTGTTTTCTTTTGTAGCGGCAATCCGTTTAGCTATGGTATGCTGAGTTTATCTGATTAGCACTTAATGAGTGAAGGGAGTAGGGGAAATCTTGCCTGAGTTACTTAAGCCTAATAAAGTTTTCAGTACCTTACCCCTCTTTCGAAATACCTGAACTTTGCTGACCCCTGCCCCTTGCTTTTCCCCCTCGCTGCAGCTGGTTCCCATGCGGATCGCGCGGCCCTGCAGCTCTGGCTGGCCGAAGTCGGGGTGCCGTTAGCCGGGCGGTTCTGTGCGGTGCGCGTCGCTCACAACGCGCGCCCTGCTCTGCCGCGTTCGGCAGTCTGTCTGGAGCTCTTCCCAGCTCAGCTCCTGTTGTTATGCTGACTCGCATGCCTTGCCTGGGAGCGCTTACTGACTTAAAATGCAATAACCTGTAGCATGCGTGTTTCTAACTTAAAACCAATAGGTGTAACCATAAGCAATATAATAGTTTATTTAGTTGTGCTAGCAGTGACATTTTCATGAGGATTCACTGGAACTTGAATAATTACATCATATAAAGAAATTCAAGAAAGCTGAGCTTTAGCAATGCTTAAAACCTGTGTGTGACACACAGATTGCGGGTCTGTCACCATAATTAACTCAGTAAGTTTCTTGAATAACTTTCATGTTTTCCTCTGGACTTCAACTTCATTTCCTTCTTTTGGGATTAATTTTAGTTTTAATTCAAAATTGCATTATAAAATTTTTTACTACAAAAGTAAAATTCTGAAACAGAGAAATCATCTGTATTAGTTTATGCTGCTTAAACATATCTTTGGTGGTTCTGTTAGTTTCATACAGAAACGCAAAGTTGTCTTAATGACAATGAAAACAGGTCCAAGGAAAGTACAATAGACATATATGCAAGAGATTCTTTATCCATAGTAGGTTCTATAGCTGTTGAAGCAATAAGGAAAAAGCAACAAAAGTTTAGGTGGAGTGTCAATAAGGCAATAATGCTGCTTAAGAAATCTGAATCTTTATAGGTAGAGACCTCTGAAAATATTTTCAGTTATACCTGCTTAACAATACAAATTTTTAGTAGAAATTTTCACATTTCTTTTATCAATGCCAGTGTCCCCAATTTATAATAATAATAGTAATAATAGTAATAATAATCTTAGCAATAGACAGCTAGTAGCAGTGGTAGTGATCCTATTAAGAGCAGAATGTGTGTGTATTTTTAAATAATTTTAAAGATAGTAAAAGAATGCTAGAGGTGCAAGAATGCACCAAGATATGCTTGAGATGAGTGTGACTGATTTTTGAGGTCTGCACAGCTTGCTGCTGAGCAGGCCCTAAGGATTTACCTTCCCGAGTGAGGTACCACGGCTGACGGCGTTCAAGTTCCCAGTGCACTGCGATGCCAGGCACAGTGTGTCCAGTTAAACTGCCGTCAGTGCTGGAGCCTGCCTGGAAGTGTCGCACTCTGATCTAAATGGCAGAAATTCTGGAAGAGCTTTTTCACTTCACTGACAACCCAAACAGTGTCTTTAAACTTCTTCTTGTTTCCATTACTGCTTTGTTTTGTTTTGTTTTGTCTGCTCCTGAGTATGTACAGCTCATGCCAGACTTCTATCCAGCCATCAAGATGGAAGAAAAACAGGTGTTAATCTGTGAATTAAGTATTGAAATATTTTGTAATTTGATTCAAAGGTTTATTTAAATCACCACAAGTATGTGTGTGTGTTTTTTCTTTTCCCCTCTCAGGTTTGCAGTTATGTGTGGCTATATGTCTCAGTTTGACAGTGTACAAAACAAAATCAGGAATGGTTATCTCTTTAAGGTATGTTTTTTGTAGGCTTTGGGGGTTTTTTAAGCTATTCCTTTAAATTATTTCCTTACATAGTGTCAAAGACAGATTTGTGCAACACAATAATTCAGCCTCACAGGTCTATTTTGGTGCCGATGTTAAAGTGAAAAAGTTATTTTTATGTCTGCAAATAGATTGTATGCTTACAAAATCTAAGAATTAAGGTAGCATTCTGGGAACAGCATTAAGATTTCTGTTTTATTTCGTAGTCAAAGGGGGGGGAGAAAAACAGTAACAATTCTGTTTAGAAAATAAAAACATATGAAATATTAAATGAACTAACACAGTTCTGCAGTCGTCCTTCATGCCCCCCTTAAGAAGTTCATATTTGTTTTAACACTGTCCTTTCAAGGCTAATTTTATGGGTTTTAGTGTTACAGTTTGTGTTACGTGTGCTACTCTCCCCCTCCTTGTCCTCAGCATCGCTTAGGCGCTTTCCATCCCTTGCCCTCTGAGCCGGCGTCCCCCCTTGCTGGGTGTCAGTGAGAGGCAGCAGACGTGTTCCTTTCCCCGGGGAATGCTGGGGACGGGTCCCTGTCACATCGTGTCCATGTTAGGACTTGGAGTGTTGTGGGGCTTTCCTATGAGAGACCAGTAATTACATGTGGACTGTGCCAAGCGAACTAAGCCCCGAGCGCTGGGACAAGCTGGGAGCAAAGGAAAGATGATAAATAGCACAAGTGCTGCAGTTGTTTAAGGATGGAGTTTGAAAAAAAGTCCTGCAGTGTTAGCAGTAGCCTTTTCAGGAAGGCTTTCCTCTTCACGAGTAATTACTGAAATCTGTGTGAATCATTTTTAAATGTTAAGGATTTGGGAAAATAATAGCATGAAAACATAGCTCCTATCTAATTAGTTTGTGGACAAAATGACAGAATAATAAGATCTTAGATCTGTATAACTCAGATACTTTAATGACTGACTTAATTAGAAAAACAGAGATATTGGGGGGGAAGCTTAACAGTGGTATTTATTTTGAGAGGCAAATGGTAGCTAGGGGCAGAATAACATATTTATTATTTCTTCAAGCGCAGGTTGGGCAACAAGAGCTTTCGTTAGTAAATTAAAGAGAGAAATAAGGATACTCATGACCTGTAATGAAAACGATTTTGGAAGAAGCACCTCATTAGATACTTCATAGGTTTTATGGTTCCACTATGAACAGAATCGTTTTATTTTCTGAATTTCACATTATAGTCATTTACCATTTCATTGGGGCAGTCACATTCCAAGGTGGAAGAGACTGTGCTTCAGTGATGGGTGCTGCCATGTAGGATCTATCAAAGAGAGTGGCTGCATTCTCACCAATTCGGTGTGTGACAGTTTCCTAATACTAACTGTAAATAGATGAATTTGGTTCAAATTGTTGAGTCCTTTGAATGAACATGAGAGCCGCTTAGTCATGTTCTAAACACAGTATGCCTTCTTATGTTGTATGCAGAGTTGCTAAATAATTTTGTTTGTGGTTTCTGTCCACAAGGAAAGGGTTTGCTAGTGAAAATACTTTTAAGTTGTTAAAAAAGAATTGCAGCAGAAGAGAATTTCTGAATTTGTTTATGATTTACAGCAAATTTCTTAGACTGTAAACACACTTTGCCAAACAAACATCTGAAGTGACACTGATTTTCTTTCTAATAGGAGCACCTAGACAAAGCAATCGAACTTAAGCCTCAAGATCCTTTTTTATATTACCTAAATGGAAGATGGTGCTATTCAGTAAGTTGTTTTTTATTTAACATATACATTGAGCATACTGAAAAATTATAATGTATTTGAAATGAAATAGTGGGACTTAAGACCAAGTAGGTGTTTACTGAAGTAGGCATTTTGAGCTAAATGAAGCAGTACACTTACATTTCCTGAATTAACTTTCCCATGAGTGGTGTTAAATGCTGACCATTCTTGCCATGTACATTCAGTAAGCTGTGCTTGCATGTCCTCATTGTTGTGTTCAGGTTTCTTATCTGAATGTAGGGATGAAAAGTAACTGACATTTGGGCAGGAGGAAGGGTGACCTCTAGTATTGTATGCCTTGATTTCAGTTCTTTATTCTGCCGCAGACTTTCTGGGTGACCTTGGGGTGGTAACATAGCCTTTTGGTGACTTTATTCCCCATCCATAACTGAAGTTAGGGGCACTTACGTGCTGTGGGATTATGGCTGTGGCAACAAGGCTAACATACCAGCTTGGTAAATTCCAGGGCAATGTCATAACAAAGATGCAGACATAAAAATCTATAGTTCGCCAAGAAGTTTTGCAAGAGATACAATTTGTATTATGCCAACACAACGTGTACTTTTAACTGTTGTGTTAATGACAGAGTGAGAAGTACTCGTATATGAAAAATTAAAATAATTGTTTTACAAGCTTAGCTGTTGATTAATTTTTTTTTTTAGAAAAATAATGCTTGTGCTTGTCTTATTCTTATGCCCAGATCTTTGATGGCTCAGGTGGCTATCCTTATTTCTTCATCTTTAGGGCTGTGAGGAATCTTTCGTCAGAAGAAAATTTGCTTGCATAGTCTATGCTGTAAAAGATCACTGGGAGGCTTCTCAGAATAGTGACTGCTAATGCACGGTGAATTCCAGCCCTACCTTTTTCCTCCAGCTACTTCCAATGCTAGTCACTATGAAGTGCCTGCAAACTGGAAAGAAGGAGTTGCTCTGATACATTGCAGCCTTTGACTTTATCTGCAACAAGACTTAATGCAAAGTAATCTTTCAGCAGTTTTTTCAGATCATATATTTCACTTTCAAAGAGCTTTCAGCAACTACATTTTTTTTTCTGTTGATTTGAATAAGGAACGACACCAGCTTTTTCAAAGAGCTTTTCATTTTGGTTTTCATCACACTGTATTCTTGATTATCAGCATTAGCTATGCGAAAGTGAGTTGCTGAAGATTGTCCTATAGTATGCTTGCTGTTCTGCCTTTGGAGGGCATCTCTCTCGCCAGTGATTCCTTAAGCACTTTTATACCATACTGTGCCAACAGCTGACTGCAGCTTCCGTTTGTGTCAGACTCTGCCAGATGTTTTTCATGGGTTATTTCTCACTTGAGCTATCACTTTTGGAAACTTTACATGTAGTCTCAGTATACCTCACTTTGTTCTTATTGCACTGTTTTTTTTACTCGTTTCATTTTAGTGGCAGTCACCACTTCCTGACTGGTACATGTGGTTTCTTGTGCTATACCGTTACAAACTCATGTTCCACACTTGAAGCATCTATACAGGGCTTGCTTACTGAATGTTGAAGCAACAGATTAGCATTTGCTTTAGGGTATGACCTGACCTGCATTTTATTAAGTGAAACAGTCCACCTAAACAGTTGTAGCCACTGAAATACTTAAGGATTGAGTCCTTTTTTCTTCTTCTTTTTGTTTTTTTTTAATTCTTGCTTTGTGTGACTGTTTTGATGGCCATGACAAAATAGTAAGCTGAAACACTTAGAAAAGATTTTCATAGTTACAAATAAATGCAAGTATAGAACTGAATATCATTTTGTTTTAACTTCTGGGGCTCTCAGCCCTTAAACCTTTCTGTCAGTTGCACACTTTCAGTAGCAGGATGAAGCCATCATTTGGGAACATTAGTTTTGAGGCTCTACTATGGAAACTAGATCTTAATCCTAGCCCAGTGAAGTTGGTGATATCCTCATTAATTTTAGCAGGTTGTATGAGTAGGTTTCTGTGCTGATCCACGAATACAGGTTTTGGCCATGCATGTGATGTAGATAGTCGTAGAGGCTTCTGGAAGGTGTGGCAAATTCCTTGGTCCTGTTCTGCAGACTGTGGTGTTTCATGCTGTGGTAACTATCCCAAAAGTAGACTTGGCCGTGGCATTGGTTCCAAATACTTCTTCAAGGTAGAGGTCGTGATAGGGTGCTTGAAAAATACGTTTATCACTTCTCTATACAGGTACCTGTAGATGGAGCGATAATGCTCCTCTTAGACTTTCCGCTTTTTCTGTTTAGTGTAACGGAGGTTCAGGCTGGGAAGGCTGTGTTGTCCAGTGTGAGGAAATTAAAGAAGAAAAAGGGATGACTGAGGAAAGAAGCTTAGCTTTTGTATTTAGCCTAGCTGACTTTGGGGTCCAGTTAGGACTGGCCGCAATAGTTGTTCTTTCACAAATGTTGCATCCAGGGGCATTATTGTCTGGTTTTAGTTGCATATTCTTCTACTGAAGCAATGTAGTTAAAAAAGATAACTAGGCTTTGATAACGTTTTTGGGAAACGTGATGTGCTGAAGTCTTCCTGGTGTAGTCAGACGCTTCCCATTCACTACCCATTTAGTGTTGGGGGATCCTGTTACTATCTTCTAGTGCTGTTTTTGGGCTGATACACTGAAAAATATAGGTATATCAGACTACAAAAGGGGATGCTTTGAGTGTTGTAAATCTGGGCTCCAGTTCATTTTCACAAATGAAAATCAGTTGAACAGACTTTTAAGTATAGGGGAGGCAAACGGAGAAGATTTATTAAAGACTGAAATCTATAACCAGAGACTTCATGCTGTACTTGTAAAGCTATTTGATTTTTGGAATTTTGCCAGAATTTGGCTCTGACTGCCATTGCTCACTTTCTTCGGTGTAACACAGTCCTTTGCGAAGAGCAGTGGTGTGGCAGCGCCAAGTTTCTTACTCAGCAGTTACTCTTGCTGGGACAGATCCAAAGCCGATGCAAAGCATCATAGCACCTTCCAGCAGGAAGGATGAGCTGGATTTTCACTGCCTCGCAGCAGTGGGGTTTTGTCTCTGATGCAGATCTAGTGACAGTTGTGTGCCACCTTGTCTAAAAATTGATTTTTGCTGTTTCTTATTTCTTTTGCTATCGTAAAGCCAGTAAAGCTATACAAAAGAGGTGGATTCTGTTCTAACATGTGATCTTAACTTTATTAGAAAATTACTCTGGCATCACAGTCAGGTAGGCAAAATTTTCACCAATTGTTTCATAGATGCCATGATGGGCAAAATTTTGCCTGTGAGACCTGCTGTGTATACAAGAAGCTGCATATAGCTCTAATGTTTTTTTTTATTTTGTTTTGCAGAGGTGACAAGGGGAAAAAAAAATACTTATTTATGCATTGAGCAAACTTAACACCACTAGTAATAGATAGTAAACTAGTAAACTGCAGAACCCTACCAAATGTTATTTTAATATTTCTTTTTCCAGTGGTGATATAGATTTCTATGTACAGTGTAGCTTTAGTGATAATGTTAGGAAAAGATGATTACTGTATAGTTGTAATGAAGATACTTTAAAATATCTAATAAGCAATGTAAACCAGTGTTTAGTATGTAAAAGCGATGTTACTATTCCAAAGAAAAACAACTGTAGTGATATAATTTTTATTTAAAATGTCTTTGGTGGTGGACAAAACTTCTTCTTCTCAGCCTTCTGTGACAAAAATGCTTTGTCAAGTTTCAAGCCTTTCAAGTTTCAGCTTTGTTTTTGTTAAGTGAAAGCGAAAACTACTTTGCTCTTCAGATCAGCAAGAAATATTTATTGAAAGTGGATTATCTGTTGTGCATGGTGTGTAGGCATTAGTTTTCTTTCCTTAGAGTTTTGGGCACAATTATCTAATAATCCTTTATAATTGTGTGTTCATGGGGTTTTTTAGTGTCTTAATGTTTAAAATAGCTTTATAAACAGAGTAGGTGTCTAATTAAAACTTAAGGCTACTTGCCATTACAGGACTGGCACAAAACAGTTAGCGTATACTTGTGAAAGTGGATCAGAGCCTCTGGTAGATGCTAGTGGGGTATTAAAAATTAGAAGTCTTGATATTTTCTTTTTGCAGGTTACATGCCGTGTGTTGGATTCATCTCTGGTGTATCCCAGTATCTGTTTGGGTTACATCAGGGAACAAATTGATTCAATTCCTTTGTCTGTGTGCTCTGTAAGTCTGCTCCCCTTATTGGAAAGTGAAAAGCCCAGGGAATTCAAGCTGGATAAATGTCTAGATGCCTGTGCAGACTGTCCTGGTTCCTCAGCTGGCAAGAAAAAGAATATTTGTGTTGGAAACCAGTATTTTAAAACTGCTATCCAGTTACTTAATCTCTTCCAGAAGTCAAAACATTGCAAAATTATTTAATACAGTTTTACATTAATATATTGTAATAAAAAATATCCCCAGAGAGTTGGGTGGTTTTTTTTTTAAGTAGGTGCCATTAATATTTTACTGAAGCTGGATCAATAGGATGATTTTCCTTTATGGAAGACAATTGTGTGATCTCTCTTCAGTGAGCTATTAGCAAGGAAACATCGGAGAAGGAAATCCTTTAGGGCTGCAAGTCAGTCTTGGCTGAATTTTCAGTCCAAGCGGGTTAGTTTCCTTGGTACCAACATCCTGGAATTTGAAAAGAACTGTCAGTAGGCAGGGTGTGCGTCTCATCGAAACCAGACAGAAGACAAAACGAAAAACAAAACTCCAGCCAGTGTTTTAGTTCGTATGTGATTTTTTTTTTTTTATGATTCTAGGCTAAGGAAGAGAAAGGGATGTTAGGAAATCCCTTTTCCCAATATTTAGGGAGGAACCACATTTTCTACCTTAGTCTTCAGAGGAACAAGAGGCCTGATAGGAGCGTACTGGGTACGAACTTTACAGTCAGCTGCAGTTTAACTCTGTGGGTGGCTTTCTTCCATCACTGGTATTAGCAAAGATTTGGGTAGAATAAATGGATGAGAGCTTGCTGTTTGACAGATCTATAGAAGAGACTGTTCGAGACAACCGTCTCTGTTAGTTGTGGGATACTGAAGAGTGGCCTCCTCCTTGGCAGAGGCCAGGCTGCTGTGGTGACCCACTCCCCTCCAGCCCTAGGGAAGTTCAGGAGTTGGCTGATGATCTCTCAGGCCCTTGTTTTTTGCTCTTGAGCAAGTGGGACTAGCTCTCCTCATGTACAGCAGCTGGGAGGTGATGTTCCTCAAATGATCCAAATACATGAAAACCTGATATTCTGTGGAGACGCAGTGTTCCTTGCAGTGCTCTTGTGCATTTTTGGGCTGCTGAGGGACTGACGTCAGGGCTTGGGAGACCTAAAAAACCAGAACTCAGTCAAGGTTTGGAAATCATCTGTAGGGCCAAGGCAATCTTAATTCTTTAGTTTTGTTGTTGTTGTAGCCATTACTTGCTGCAGTAGTTGTTTTTCTTATTACTCCTTGCTGTCCTGTACTATTCTTGGAACACGCATTAAGTGAAATCATGGCTCCACTGAAGTTGATGACAGTTACAGTCTCTTTGTACTTGATTTTGTATGGACCTCCAGATATGCTTTGCACTGTAGAAGTCAAATTTGCACTACACTAGAGCATGCTGCACCAGGGTTTCTGCTGGCTGTGCTTGCTCACACACAGAGAATGCTTAATGAAGTTAGTTGGTGTAGTAGGAATGATGTTTCCATTTCACTGAACATGGCATAAAATTTACTCTAATAAAGTTGTTTCAAATTAAAGACTGTGCTTGTGTGTGTTTAGGGGAAGGATATAATTTCCTGTTCATCATTATTGCTCCAGGACACAATTTTCTGTCTTGGGTGAAACAGGTCTTTTCCATTTGTCCCACCCCAGTTGTAGGGGGTACAGACTGACTCAGGTAGGGACATGGTTAAGCTGTTTGATGGGATTTACCTCACCTGTCTTTAGCCAGCCAGAAGGTATTATTGCCAATGCTCCTTTTGTAGTTGAAGGAAAGGAAGAAGAGGAAGAGAGGAGTGTTCATCCCGGGCTAATGTGCATGGAGAGGAATTGCCTAGTGGGAATGCTTCTCTCTGTATTGACCATGCAAGGAATCTGGACAACTCATGTAAACCAGGCACTTCATGTATGGATGGCTAAGGTTAGCTGCAATGAACTCATCAAGCCAGTGGCATGTAATTCTGACTGCTCAAAACATTACAGAACTCTCAGACTGTCTGTGTAATAGTCAGGAATGCTGAAGCCAGTGCACATTAAAGAAAACTCACTATTGTGCATACGTGCATTTCACTTTTGAACATTGTTTTAGGTTGGTGGGATTTGTAATGTAGAAATGGCCAAGTGCACTTATGTTTGGGCTTCTTTAAGTGTGGATACTCCAAAGCAGCACCCAAGCCAGACAAAATAAGGACTAAAACCTCAGTAAAACAGTTGATTAAGTCTTGTAAGAAAATAAAATGACTGCCAGGAAGAACTTGTGTTTTCAATAGATAATTATAACTCCACATGGAAAAACTGCAATTTTGTTTCCTGCCTATTGCATAACAGTAGACACGTGTGTGGTTAATTGTGCAGGGTATGTGTATCTCCAGGGCATTTTGTAGTCTCGCAGAGAACTGTGTAAGCATATACATTCCCTTTATTTTTTTCCCCTCTTTTCCTCCCTCTATAGGCTGCCTCTATCTTGATATGATGGGCCTAGAAATATAGAAAACGCCTTCCTCCTCAAAAAAAAGCAGAGAACACTACAGCAGCAGATTGGCTGTGAAGAAAACAATACTTTTGCAAAAACCCTTTTAATATATGTTGCAGAGTATGTCTCAGAAACTATAGAGCAGCTAGGGAAATGAAGCGTGTGAGGAAATTGTGTACATACCTACAACCTGATGTTTTAACCAGCATGCTGCTGTTTGTAACACAGTGTGAACGCACTGCAGTGCAGAGAGGGGAAACATCTTGTTGTTTCAACGGGTAAGAACTCTGGTATTGCTGAGGAGCTTTTGTAAAACCCACTTTATTCCCTTAAAAAAGGCTTCAAGAGTGGGATATGTGTGAGAGAGAAAAAAAAAAGCTTCATTTTCTTACTATTATTTCTCTCTGGAATATAATTTTTAGTGGGTTTGTGTCAGAGACTTACTGACGGTGTTTAGCAAGTAAGGCATTGGACTCTGCTGAACAACCAGCAAGACTTGACCAGGATGCCTTCTGTCTCCAGGCCATGTTGCTCTGGTGTAGCTGGAGTCACTGGGGCCAGATGGGAGAACGTGGTCCTGTGCATTTTCCTGTGGCGTGCTCGCCTGAATTTGTACTCTTTGCTGTCATATTTTTAGGACAGTTTGCAACAAGAAATACATCGAGCTTGATGTCTGTTCAAAAGAGAAGCATTCTGGTTGATGGCTGTGGATAGCTGTGCATGGATGGTTTCTTGTATTGTACCGTAATTAACTGACATCTACTGGATAATTGCCGGATTTAGCAGGAGAGGGCGCGGGGAGCAGCAACAGCCCTGAAGAGACTGGGAAGCCAGGGAATTACTCAGGAATAATCTAAAGCTATCCAAAACTATTTAAATTTTTACAACAGTAGAACAGGCTTGAGTTCAAGGCTCAACTCCGTTATTTGAATCGCATCTCCCCCTGTAAAAGACATGTACTTATGCAACTCATTTTTCACCTCCAGGTCTCCGATGAGACGCTCTCTTTCTTTGCCTGTGTGTATCCCTTCTCTGTGTTGCCTCTGCATAGATCAGGCCAGAAATTGTTAGAAAAAACCATAGAACCTTGGTTTTTACCATTTTTAATCTCAGTTGTACTCTATGACAGGAGCCATCAGTGCTGTGGTTCAAATACTGATGTGAAGGAATAAAGTCCTAGCTTTTCTTTACAGGTGTAGTAGAAGTGTCCGAAGGAGGGTGGCTTCACTGCTCTATTCAAACAGGCTTTAGTCTCACATTGCATTTCTTAGCAGCTGCATCCTTGGTTAGAGATATGGTTAGAGATGAGGTGTTTTTTTTCCAGGCTGGGTGATGGAGCCAAATACCTTATGGCAGTAACCAGACAAGCTTCTGTCAGGTGTCAGTATATGTAAGGGAAGAAGTCGTGTATACTGTGCGGCAATATGACAATTCCCTGAAGTTCTTTGACAACAGCCCATCTTCCTGCAATGAGAAGCGGTCTTTGGCAAGTGTTATCTGTAGATTTGAGGAGGAAAAAATGAAGCCTGTTTCTTAACAGTGGTTGTCACCAGCTTCTGTGTAATAAATAAACTTGTTTTTGCAAGTGCCAAAAGCACTCACATTTTGACTGTAGCAACAGCTTTTTGTAATGTTGTATTCGAGTACATGGACTACATGGTCATGCTAAGCTGTCTGCCTCATGAAAACCGTAACAGGTTTAAAGCACTATTTCTAGCCTAAGGTTTTAAAAAGTGGCAAGGTCTTATGAAACCTAAGCTGTACTTTAAACTTTATACATTGGAATAATCTCATATCAATGATGTTGGTATTTTGTCGTGTGTTTCTTAATGTGTACATTTTCCTCTTAGCAGAATCTAGAATCTGAAAGACTATGCTTTGAGCTGGCATATTGACAGTGTAAAACATTCCTGTACAGGTTCTCTTGCAAAATAGGTTGCATAAGTAGCACAGCGGCGCAGGACAGTATTTACTCCAAAACTGAGAAGCAACCCTAAAGACTTCTGATTTTTTTAATTTTTTTTTTTTTTTATTATAGGTAGCTCAATTGTCTTGGATTGAAAAGAAAGTAGCTGCTGCTCTCTTTGGGACTCCACCAACTTCAACAGTAGAAGAAGCACTGCAGTATTTCCTTAAGGTAAGTCCTAGCCAAGGGTTTTCCTGTATGACTGTCTACCAGCTGCTATACGTGACTGTTGTCAAGATGTCTGCTCAACAGATTATGTTCAGTAGCTATAAATCCACGGCCCTCCTAAATACTACAGAGCTCTGTACTAAAATATTTTTTGCTTTTCTATTTCATAATTTGTTTGGAGATGAGTGGCTAGCACCTTTTCGTCTCTTTCTTTAGTTTTAGGGAATTCTTCAGTGGCTTGCCATGTGTAATAGTTATTGGATTTAAAGTGAAGTGGATATAAATTAATTACAAATGCTATTGAAATAAATTAACCATAGAGATAACCGTTGATTTGCCTATTTCTGCAAGATGTTTAACATAGGCAAGAAAAACTTTGACATCATGACGCTTCTCTTTTTCTAATCTGAAGCTTTTTCATTGAATTTCTGTGGAAACCTTTCTTGTTTGCGGAGGTGAAATTACCTTTGTAGTGAAGTAGAAAAGAAAGCTCTGTCATATAGGTCCATGTTCCTGGGCATTCTACTTGAATGCACAGTTATGACAAAACACCACATGAATGAAATAAATCTGTCTTTCAGTGTCTTCTGTACGAATCATTTCTACGTCTGGAGCTGCAAAATACAAGTTTTTCGCTTGACTGAATTCAAAACGTAAACCTCCATCATTGCAATTACTTTCAGACAGTTTCTCAAAGGAGTTGGACAAGCAGATTTTCTTCACTATCAAAAGTGCTTGTTTTGTGTGTTCTTAGGCTATTTAAAGATGGAATGATCTGCATTTTGGACAATACAATACGTTACCATCTTCCCAGTTTACCAGATTTTATCTTTAAGGTCAAACAAAGGTGGTAGAAACAATTTGAAATGTTCACTTTAGCTTCAGGGTATTTTGTGGTGGGCTGCAGTGTAACTGTGGTTTTAAGTCATCTTCTGCAACAAAAATTAAATTACTGTCTGAAAGACAACTGTTTGGGTTTCTTATTCATTTGTTTGCTAATACAGAGTTGTAGTGAAAACAGCATTGTTTCAGTCCAAGGATTACAGCTGCTATAAATGTCACTGATGTAATTTTTCTGCCCCAAAAGCTGTTTGTTGATTAAGGCTGCTTCTTGGTTAATAGATAATTGGTAAGGTTTTTACTCATCTTTTAAGCTTCTACATCCTTGATGTGTTTTAACAGGAAGACAATCCTGAACTGTTTTAATGACCTGAACTTTTCAGAAGATGGTAATGTGAAAAGAAAGGTGAACCCAGAGCTAGAAGATGTGAGTCTGTGAAAGAAAAATAATTACAAAGTTGATGAGTACAGTTCATTACCCATTACACAGACTGTGAATGGTTGGTTGCTTAGAGAGAGCAGTGTCTTCCAACCCACTGTGTAAGTGAATGAATCCGACAGATATTCTGTAGAATGATCTGATAACTTTACAAAACACTTCGAGAAAGAGGAGAGCAAGAAGTACAGAACATTTTTATGTGTTCAATATCAGCACCTCATGTGCCTGGTTTAGGATTAGGGGTTTGGATTTTCTGGTTTTCTTGAGGGGTTTTTGTGGAGTGCTGTACAGATTGTGGTGCACACAGTAGGGATGATTCAGTCTGATGTTTGAGGAAACTTAGTGCATTACTAAAAATGCTCTGCAGACCACATAAATCTCATCACACAAGTATAGACATAGTTTTATGTCTATTTTCTTTCCTGTTTTTTATTATTTAGGCAGAAGAAATGCGTCCAGGATATTCCAAATACAATTATGTGTATTTGGCAAAGGTAACCAAGTTCTTTTAAAAATAATGATTTGTAGACTCTGGTATTCTTACAGTGGTCTGATTGGAAACAAAATGTTTTTTCTTCTCAGTGCTATAAAGATCTTGGCCAGAAAAACAATGCACTGAAGTACTGTGATTCTGCGCTGTCAATTCTCTCAGTTACTAATGAGGTGGGTATTGAGAGTGATAACTTGCTCTCTTGTGACCACTGTCTTGTCTTTGGCACCCATTATTGCACTGTCAGTAACAACATAATGTTTCACTTTTTCCTCTGAAGACAGAACCTTCCTTTTTCCTCCACTATAGGTTGGCTTGTTACAGTTGTCTTTATCAACAGCTTTAAAGACATCATTGTTAGGGGAACTGTCAGGGACTTGTCTGTGTCAGAGGCTGTCAGAAATTGAATTGCACTCTGTAATTCAGCCCATTTCATTAGACTATTTTAAGCATAAGCAGTTGAGTGTGTCACTCTAGCTGTGCTGAAATTTTGCCCCAGACCTGTTTTTGTCGGTTGAAAGCATTCTGGATTTTTGCCCTGCAGTCTCTATTTTTGCTCCTGAAAGCCTCTGGTTTATGATTCTCGTCAAGGCCTTCAGAGCGGTGTGTTAGCTGTAGCAGAGGTAGATGAGCTATTCAAGATTGCCTATGTCTTCAACCACAGTGCAGTTAGAGGCACAGTTTTTCCAGTTACATGTACTGGTACATAGTTTGTTCAAAGAGACTACTAGATTCTTTTTCAGGCCCTTTAGAGTATTTTTAGTATGTGGACGCAAAGTTTCTACAGATATTTGAGAGATTTAAAGTTATTTAATTTCTGAAATATAAACCAAGTCATGGCAAGAAGGTTCACTCTGTCTGTTCTCGTGTAGAAGCAAGTTCCATAATTACCGACCCATGACTGGAAACATCTTACCATCCTAGTGCATGACAAGTTCAAACCTGAGCTTTGTCAGCCTAAGGGACCCCCTCTGAGCACAGCAGATGTGGTAGGGAGGGAGAGCAGTGATTCCAGAGTCGAATTGGCCCTATCCCATTTAGTTCTTTGAAGTTAAGGAAAAAGACCATTAAATAGCTATGTAACTTGATTGACAATAAATGCTGTGTGTGGAGCACTAACATGTTTATGTCAAGTGTTCCTGCTGGGAAGCAAGACCACTGCATGCCTCACCAGCAGCTGCTCCTGGGTGGCCTTTATGTTTTTTGCCCAGGTTAAAGTATACACCAGTCATAAATTAAGTAATCATTGCTTAAGCTCAGTGTTTCTTTAAATATGTATTGGTACAGATATGACATTAACAATCTAATTTACTCTGCTTTATTCTTTACTTTCTGTTGAAATGTACCTTCAGCTTGCCTGTTACAGAATGTAAGAAAGACTGCTATAGCTTATCTGTTATTTGGTACCTTACGTCTTTGCATAAAAAGTAGGACCAGTGGTGTAATGGAGAGAGCATACAACTGAAATTGCTTTAATTCAGCCTGGTTTTTATATATCTGCACTGATTGTGCTGGAGAATTTTTTGGTTTTGCTGTATTCAACTTACTGCAGCCCAAGTAATCTTGCAATGAACTCTGAAGATATCTGGTAAAATTGCAAACAAACATATACCACGGAAAATTCTGGTGGGCAGAGGACTGCCTGTGTTTAGTGATCTGGATATCATTCAACATATTCATGAGGACTCCTTGAAAAAGTATGGAGATAGCATAGATTGCGATTCATCTTTGATGACAATAGCTGGACAAAATTTTGGTCACCCAAAGGTAGTTGCTGAGGCTCCTCCTACACTCGATGGAGAGAGATAAATGCACCCAGGTGCCTCATCCTGGCACTCTTGTCCCCTGATGGCAGAGGGAGGCTAGATGCGAAGATACCTGCAGGATGTGTACCTGGGACACCTGACTGCTAGACTGTGCAGTTAGTGAGAGGTGAATCCTGCCTCTAAATCCAGTGTCATCAGTCTAAGTGGGAGCTGGAGTTCAGTGCCTCCTGAGCAACCTGGAGGGGCTTAGTTCCTGGAAAAAGGAAGGTCCCATCAAATTTCTGAAGTACTGGCACACCTCAGGGGACCCTGAGATGAGAGCAGCAATCTGAGGGAAGGGGGTGTATTCTGGCAAGCAAGGTGGTAATGAAAATAAGAATGGTACTGGTTTGTGAACAGAAGAAAGCAGCAAATGGGCCCCCAAAATCTTTTGTCCGTCTGAAGAGGACAAGATGATTTGTCCTCCTCTGTTTTGACTAATTCTATAGCTATCACAGATTTGTCTACTTTGTCTTGTTTACTTGTGATGTGTTTTAAGTTTAGAAAAAAAAAGTCCAGGAAAATATGGCATTCGGGCAATAATGTGTAATTCGATTTTTTTTTTAAAAAAAAAAGCAGTCAGCATAAGGTAAAACCAAGTGCATTCTGAAAGGAATTACTGTAAAATGGAGATCTGGAACACAAACTCTGCTGATGCTGTTACCTCAAGTCCCATCTGAATCAGAATATTACGTGTTGTTTTGGTTATTGTGTTAGAGAAAGACTGTTAGTGATTTTGGGGGGAAACATATTGGAACTGAAGTGGTTCAGGGCTTGGAGATGTACACAGGAATAACATTTAGGTAGGTTAGTTTAAGGGAGGGGAGAAACTGTAAGGAGACTAAAGAGGCTTTGGGGAGACAGTAATGAACAGATGCTGATAAAGTGCCTGAATTGACTACAGCCCGGTGAAAGATGGGGTTCTGGTCTGAAACAGAAAACGCAGGTCAGCAGCAGTGAGGATTTTTTTCAGTTTGCCACAGCACAGAATCTCAGGGTTGTCAGCAGTGTGGTATGTTGTCACAGTCATGTGAAACCCATCATTCCCAAGTGTAATCATAGTTTCTCATGTGAGCTTTCTCTCTTTCTTCAGGCAGGGGAATTCCTTTATTGTTTTTAAATGTTGGCTTCTACTGAGAAAGATGTATATGTATAAAGGCATAAAATCAGGAGCAGACTGAGAGACAAAGTTGCTGGAAAGGTGCCACATTGAGGAATTGTATAGTATTTCATGATACAAATCATCCTGCAGCAGAAGTATGAAAATAATAGTAGACAACGGTTTACTTTATATCAGTTCTGAGCATCCACAGTTTCCAGTGACTTCAGTGGGAACCAGAGATGGTCGGCATCACTAAAATAGCCCATAGCTCGTTTTAACCCTCAGGTCAAACTCTCAGCTGGTCTAACTCAGGGCACTTCTTCGACACTTTGTCTAGGATTCATTTCATGTAACATTTCATGTCAAGTGAGATTATTTTTGTCCTGAATGTTGTATCACATCCAAAGATCCCTTCTGTACATCTCTTCTACCACTTAGAGAATATGTTTCTAATTCAAGGGGTAGAGGGGCTTCCAAACAGAGGTAATTCTTGTTAAAGAAAAAAAAAAGAAATCAGATGGCCAGTTTCAGCCCTATTATAAACCCTAAAAAGGATACCAAAGAAATCATCAAAGAAGAGACAACTTGAATGAATGACTCCTGTACGTCCTAATGCCAGCACATTTTTAACTAATCAGTCTATGCATTTTGTTTGTTTGTTTGTTTGAAAAGGAAATGCAGGAGATTTGGTGCAAATTACATCTGGAAAACAAAACTGATGTTACAGTACTACTTTAGAGACCTTTCTCTATCCTCTTTACTCTAAACAATAAAGTCCAATGAATCATACGGTCCTTCCTTGGCCATAAATACTGTCATACTGTAGAGCAGTACTTCACTGCTGGAGGTGCACGGGACGTTAAATTGTCCTGCTTTTCTCTGGTTGCTGTCCAGGTGGATAACCTCAGGGTCCTGGGAAACATTCACCCCTTCAGTAAAAGAGATCCTAATGTTCAAGGCTGCTGTGAGTTACTGGAAAGTGCATAACAGCTGCTCTGTTTATCTGGTAGCTGTTGCATTACCCTTGCTGAGACTCATTACTTTGTAGTGCTCTCAAAGCCTTGGTGAGTGTGACTACATGAAGGGCTGTCAAAACCAGATGTGGTGGACTACTGTGAGGGGAAAAAAAATACTTTTTTAAATTTGGGGAAAATAACATAACTTAAATTTGAAAACATGAGCATTCGTCTTGCATCTAGAAAGACAAAACAAGTGGGGGGGGTGTTTGATTAGACACAGCACTTTGCATGTAAGGGGAATAGAGACTATCTTCTTGTTTAAAACAAAGATTGTTGGGTACTTTAAAGGCTGGAGCTTCTAGAAAATTAAAGTCTCAGTGTAGGATTATAAAGTATAATAGTAAAGAAATTATTTTTTCTTGTATCTGGGGATGAGCATGGGTGTGAGAGTGCACTCTGTGGACCAGGAAGCTCACCACAAAGGGATTAATAGCCTAGTAGAGAAAGAGATTAAAATTTCAAGGTTCTGGTGTCTATGACGTTTTTTGCAAATGAATCTAAAAAGCAGCAGTTATATTACAAAAAATGTAGTCTTAGAAGAGCTGAAGACAGCAAAGCAGGAAGAATGCAAACACTCCCTCCTTCCCAGCAGTTACAAGTGATGGCAATTCGTGGTTGAAATTAACAAATGAGAGAGATTTAGCTGTTACAGGAATTGATCATCATGGCATTCATTTCTTACAGATGTGGACTGGCAGGAAGCAGAGACTTGTTAAAGACTCTGCCTTCGGCCTCAGTGACATTTGAAACTCTAGAAAAGCCCATGCGGAGGAGGAGGTAGATGTAATAATGGGCAGGAACAATGGGTGGATGTTTACACAAGAATGCAGCTGCTGAGGAGAAATCATGCCCATAAGATTTTCTTACATTTTTTTGCATCACCATAACTGATCGCCGTGATCATTAATTTACACTTTTAATATTGTCTGTAAGGAAAAGAGTGGGAGTTACAGAGGGATGGAATAGAGGGCAGAGTACAAACTTCAGCATCCATCAGTTGTTCCTGTTACAACAGACCATTTGTATACCTTGAGTTTCCCAAAAGAAGATTTTCCGAGAAATGCCTACTCCAGCCACCGTAGATAGGTCATATGTTGCAGACCTTGCTGTGATATTTCCAGCAGATCTTGTTTGAAGCTGCTGTGGTAATCTGTCCTTCTAAGTAAGATTTTGAGGTGAAAAAATAATTTGCTTTTGCAGTGGGGGGTACAAATTATAACTTGTTTGTGAAAAAACTACCCATTGAAATTATATGAATAATTTGGGTTAACCTTATTAAAAATGTTTTTGTTTTCTCATCAGACAGAACATTTTCTTTTCTCAACATCATTGGCTCAATACAAAATGTCATTGTTTTCAGAGAATATTCGTTCCTTTAGATCTCATGCACATTTGTTCTCCAAATGCCAAGCAAAAGTCCATGGTGCTTCAATTACAAAATAATAGAAGTATTCAGTTTTTGTTAATTTTGACTGTTTGTGGAGTTGAACAAGAATTTACTAATAGCTACCACCAATCCAAAGTTAAAGTATCTTTTGAATATACTTTAAAAAAATATTCCTTAATTAGTGATTCTGTTTACATTCGATATGAGTGCTTCAAGCTCAGGGAATGGGTCTTTCAAAAACTCATTATAAAGAGATCAGATTTTGAGCTGTAAAATGCTGGTAAAAAATGAGATATTTGTAAAAGAGCCGCTAAAAGAATTTGAGACTGAATGTGAGACCTCCTATGTTTTACATTATTTTGCACTTCAGAGCATACAGTCTATTTTTCTTTATCTTATTGATCAGACTGATTTGCCGTATGCGTGTTTTTGAAGTTCTTGCCAAAAGGTTTGTTTGCTTTGTCTGCTTATTCTTTCTCCCCCTCCAAAAACGATTCCAAAAAAGATGAAGATATTTTTTGTAGTGTAGTAGTTTCATGCATAAGGATAAAGTCTATCCTGATAAATACTGAGCCTATTATATTTATGATTAAATTGACTAGTTTATCACGAAGTATTCATTTCAACATCCTGTCCAAGGTAACGCAGTTTTAGCATAGCTCTTAGTGCAGCAAGGTGGCTCAACAGATGATTCCTCAAAGTGTGGAGTGTATCTCCTCCGCTGGCGCACTGATGATGCAGGGGGAGAGGGGGACAAGTACTCACGGAGGTGGTGGTGCCCTGCAGCGTTAAGAAGTTCACAGCTGGCTTCCTATTTTTGCAGAGTGGCTGGGGGAAGTCAAGCTTCCAGGATTTTGAGATAAATTGTCTCAGAGTCCATACACAGGCTGAAGAAGAGCCTCAGCAGGCATCTTTTTGAAGGGGCTATAACTGAGCGTGATCGTGTTCAAGCCTTTTCAGTCATGACTGCACGGAAGGAAGGGCTGTAGGTCCCACCCTGTTGCACAGAAAGAGGGGAATGTGTTGAACACCGAAAGCTCCATGTTGTGTACAGTAGTAAAAAGAAACCAGATTACAGATGAAACTTAGTCTTTTACGTTAGGAAAAAACTAGTAGATAAAAATTTTACACAACTATTAATTATTATAAATTGAATTCTGCCATTTTGTAATTTTTCAACAGCAGTCCTCAAGCTAGCTGAGCTGTTCATGCAGTCTTCTGGGTGTGAAAGGGGGTTTCTCCCTTACTTGAAGTATAATCAGAAAACATGGAATTATTGTCAGCTACGTATTTTAAAGCTGTGCTTACCGTGATCCTAAAAGCCTTGAGAGGTCATGGTTCATCCCCAGAGGAAGATACTAAAAATATGAAAGAACATAAAGTGCCCCAACTTGCGTCATTGAAAAGTCATACAGACGCTTGCAAGTGGAGGATTGCATTGGTTTATTGAAATATCTAAGGGGGAAAACGGCATTATTTTGCATACAATTGCATAATACTTACTGCAGTCACACCATCTGTGAGAGTCTGTCATGAAACTGAGAATGGGTAGCATACAGCAATATAATATGATTTATATTGTCCACAAGAGCTATTACTCTCTAATTAACAATCATTGTGCATGTTCAGTAGTCACTTACAGTCCAGGATTCCTCCTGGAGCCGCGAAGGAACGATGCAGCTGTGCCCGAAAGCAGGGGTGGCTCTAAGCACCTCGTTGCTGTTACAGCATATCAGAGCACAGCTTTGGACCACCCTTGCAGCCCAGCTCATTTAATACCATGCAGCCCTGCTGACTTCAATGAAAGCCTACAGGATGCTTCTCAGCTTGGGGTTTGGCAGTGGTTGCACAGAATTATGTTATAGTTGGCTGGTGTAGCCGTTCTGGCTGTGGTCATGGGGTTATATCGTTCTCTGTTGACAGTTGGGACTTTGTCAACAAGTGCACACATATGCAGTGCCTGCGTTGAATGTGTTTAGTGCATAAGGAAATAATTAGCAGAGATGGAAGGTAAAATCATTATCTTTCTGCCTCTGCTTTAATTGCCATTTAATTTTTACATGCACATTTATATGTGTATGTCTGTGTGTATATATATTTACCAAGAAATTTTTTCAACAGAAATTAACTGTCAAAATGTGGTCTACCTCCATTTAAGCCAACATTCCCTTTTGCCCACCAGCTCTCTTTTCTGTCTTGCTCTTGTTTTCATCTCTCTCTTCCCTTCTTCAGTTCCTGGCCTCTCAGGTCCTTTTTCCCTGTGCATGTCCCCTGTGGATGATGCAACATAAAAGAAAAGCAACTAAATAGGAAGAGGGGAGAATACAGTCACTGACCATGTAATTTGAATACCTTTTGTGTGGCAGTTTGCGGTACATTTTGAACTCATATTCAACTCTGAAAATGATAGGTGAAGTGTTTAATAAATGTAAGCCTTGACAGTTGAAAGTCAAGGCTGAAAATGGCTGTGTATGCAGCCAGGCAGGTGAACAAATGGGACTGACGCAAATATATTGCATTCGTCCTACAACTTGTGCTTCTTCCTCTCCCTGCTGCGCTCTAGAGGGAGATCAGAACCTGCTCATCTTAAAAAGGAAAAAAAAAGCTGACCTGAAGTTCATTTTTAGCTCAAAAAAAGCTCATTTTTAGAAAGCCACAGACCCAGAAATTGGTGCTGAAGAGAGCTGGCCAAATACAGGATTTATGGCTTTGTTTTCCCACTAACAGTCAAGCTTTGGGCATTAATGAAGTTTTCATTCTTAAAACTGGAGAGTGCTATGCTGAACAGCATTGTGGCTTCTCTCTTCTTTTAGCGTGACGCACCTCTTGGTCTGGAAGGACTCTGTCCAAAGGTGACATAATGGTTACCTTCCCTGGCCATTCTCAGCTTTGTTTTTGGTGCCATTACTGATTTTTTAAAATGCTTTTGCCATCTGAGTTCTTATTACTGGCTAGAAGCCACTGGCTCAATTAACACAGCCCGTTAAGTAGTGTAAAACAATTGTAATTCCTGCTTTTACTGATGTAGTCTTGTTTAGAACTGGCAACCCAGAGGTGGGATGCTTTGCACGTTTGCAGTTTTTTCTCCAGCTAGTTCTTAGAACAATCGTGGATTTGTTTCATTCTTTTTCCTAAGCCCAGAGGAAGATTCAGGAAAGACTGCCCATTATTTTTGGGACCTTTGCAACTCGTTAAAGCTCATTGCCCAATGTAATCCTTCGCTTCTAAGGAGAGAGACAATTACACAAAGTTGCTTGGAGATTTTTAAAATGCTGTATCATGCAAAGTGAGTAAACAGTCCCATCAACCATTCAGATATAAGAAAACTTGCATCTTTATCATTTTCGGCTTAGAATAGTGTGAAAAGAGTAGGGTCAGACACAATGAAACCTTTTTCATTTTCTTAGTAGCATGGGACAGTATCTGGCTTTTTACTTTTTTGTTTAATGGAGTTTAGAATAATTTTCAGAAGTCGGCCACGGTCAGTACAGAAGAGAGTATGTTTTCCCTGAATATTGAGGCAAATTTTGAGTTTTCCAATTTTTATTGAAAGCCACGGGCTGGTGCTCCAGGCAGCCTGTAGTGACGTGGAGTTTAAGGGGTGCTGAATTCAGTGTGACATTTCCTTCTGTAGAGGATTTTGGCAAGAGCATGCTGGCTTTGCAGTGTGTGCCTTCTAAGGCCTCTGATAAATGATTAGGCAGATAGTTTAGCCTATTGTTGCCAGTGGGAGCAAGGCAGCGACTCCAAGAGAAGTGTCCAGCTAATGTATTAATGCCTTAATCCAGACCAATAACATAATGTAGTTTGACATGTCTGGCATATGGTTTCTATCATCTCAATATTCTTCTCTATTCCTCCGTGACATTATAGACAACTAACCAAAATAAAGAGAAGCAGGAATTTCTTCACCCGTAAAATGTGTTTTAAAATGTCCTGTATTTTGTTCCAGCTTTTTGGTTGATTGGATAACGAAGTGATCCTGAAATTCAGTGATTACTTCACTGTCTGTCTGCAGTATTTTCTTTCAGAATTGCCTGTGGCGTTATCTGGGGAAGCAATACTGGTCTCTGTCATTAGAAATACTTGCACAAAATTTGTGATGTGCCAGTGCTTTTGGCTTGCACTGCTAAGCACGCATGGGTGCATTTATTGGGTGCTTGGACCCTTACCAGCCTGCAGGTATGAGGTGCTGACTTTTTAGAAATGCGGTTTTAAACCAAGGTGCATTTTGCAAGCTAGAAGTTTTGCAATGGCAAGTAAAGCAAGTGGATTATATCCAGGAGACGTCTTAAAAATAAGTGGAGTAATGGAGTTTTTTGTACTGTGGTTACATGTTCATATGCAGGTACCCTGTTCCAAACAGATTATACATGGAATAGCTAAAACATATGTCACTGGTCACTGGTGAAAGGGTCTGTGGGCTAGGTTTGGTTTAAAGCTCCTGTGCAAACTGTGCACTTACACATCAGCCTGAAAGGAGCCTTTCCCTTCTGTCCTAGGAGGTATAATACAATTTTGGCTCTGAGTGTAGCAGATTGCTTGCCATTTGCTCCTCTCTGCTGAGCCCAGTAGCATAGGCAGAGCCCACCAACACCAGTATGGAAGATACTGAGGGTGTATGCAGCCTGTGGTGGTTCTTACAGGTAGGTATGGCTGTAGGCACTGAAACCACAATCTAACCTATGTCATTAGTTAATGTCAAACATTTCCCAATGTTTTTTCGTTAATTGCATAATCAATCTTTAGCAAACATCTCAGAAATATCTTTAGAAAAACTGCACACAGTCCGGTTGCAAGCTTATGTAAAGTATAAGGCAAGGCAGTACTTTGTGCAAAGTACACCAAGAAAAGCTACGGCCTAAGCTGAAAGGCTTGCTGGTCTGCTGAAAAGGCTATTTGTGGCTAACATTTAAAGTGCTTTAACAGAGCTGTAAAGCAAGGGCTGCCATCTGGCTCTTGTTTTCACTTCAAACTTTATTTTTGCAATCACTGATAAATTAACTTACTGCGCAGTCTTGTACGTTTTGTGCCTGTTGCACTTGTGTGTTATGTCTGTTGCTAGTGAAGAAATGTGGATAGGCACGTATTAGGCAAGTGAAGGGATTTATCCTATCTAAATTGATGCATGATTGTCTGTTTCTTTCAGGATAAAGAGGCCCAGAAAGACTTAGAGGCTTTACTTCTCACACTGAAGCTGTGATACTACGCACTTTTTAACTTTCCACGCTGTAATAAAACTACAAAACTAAAATGAGAATCTGTAGTGACTGGGAACTGCGGGTGAATTCCAGCTAAGTCAGTGGGAAAACTGTCGTTAATTTTAGCTGGCTTGGATCATGGCCTTGAAGCGTCTGGTGATTATGATGTGAAAATGATGCATTCATTTTTGATCATTTATAATCTTGTACTGAAGTTTAACTTTAGATTGCTGACACTGTGAGTCTGATTCTCTGAACATAAAAGTCCACTGCTGGCAATGGATATACTGGGGAACAGAATGCAAAATGCATAAATCTCACTCTTCGAGAGATTAATTGACAAGTATGTGATGCCAGCATAGAACTGTGTGTAGCAAAAACAAACAAACCAAATGTTTCTATAGTAAATTATATTTGTATCAGCTGATTTACACAGATGAGTACAAAAGAAGATCATGAATGTTTATGTTTACACATTTCTCTACTCTTATAAAATTAGAATCTTGTTGAAGTTAAAGAAAAAGCTTTTGCCTCCACAAAGCTGTTTTTACTTTAAACCTACTGTTGGTTTTACATGGAAAAATGAAAACTTTATAAATTAAAGTAATATTTTATTTGTAACATCAAGTACAGTATTAAAAATCAGACCAATGAAATTAAGTGGTTTATATTAATCTATTACAGCTGTGATGTTTAATGGATTTGTGACAGGACCTCCATCAAGTTTGTGAATCCTGGCTCTTTCACTTTCAACAGTTGCCTAGCGTGGTGGCATCAGGGTGTCTGCAGAGAACCTAGTCCAGCATGTGGCCATCACTAATGTTTTATATCATCTATATAACATAACCTGTACATAAAAATAGACTAATTAAAGACCTACTACTTCTGCCTGAGTGTGTAGTCTATAGAAAAATAAAGGCCAGTTTTCATTGTCTTTTAGTTCAGGGTCTTAATCTACATGCAGGGTGTGTATGTGAAAGAAGCAAGCATTTCTGTTAAAGGAAATACAATGGATAAGGACAACTGCACGTTCCCTTGGCCTGTTTGATGTGTAAGATAACATGGACCAGTTTATGCCTGAGACGAGGAGGACTCACATGGCACCAATGTATTGAACTAGCGATGGGGGCTTTAATTTTGGACGGATGGGAGACAGTGAAATTAGCAAGTACAAACTACAGTCACCGCAACAAAGATCTAAAAATTGGGCAGATGTGAAGGACTATGTATGCATGTGACTGAAGCATCTCATAGTAAGAGTGAGCTTCAACTACTAACAACAGAAAGCAATAGATGCAGTAGACTGGAAGACGAATGTGTAGAGTTAAACTTGAATTTAGCCTGACTCCATGACTCCTCCTAAAGCATGCAGATTTCTTTTAATAAAGTAGGACTGTCCATTTTTTCAAACATTTTCTTTAAAAATATGTTTTCCGACATGCAAGCATTACCGTGATGTGATTGCTTACATGCAGGCATTATCTCTGGACAAAATCTGAAAGTTCAATACTGGTTCTGAGTTCTCACTGTTATCTTCATGGTTTTAGTTTTGCTGAAGATCTCCACAAATTGAAATATGCATTTTAGCTGTTTTTAACGTTTATTCTAAGGGAAAATAGTTCCTATACCTGTTTTTCAATTCCAGAGTTCTCTTTTTTTTCATACACAATTTCAAAGGGGTAATACTATATGAGAGAAATCCTGTCATATAATTCCTTCTGTAACAGAATAATTGGCGTGTGAACAGAGAAGCTGCAAAGGTGATGTGTCGTGAAGGAGGTTTTGGTGAACACTGCTTTTGATGTTTTCATAGCCGTTTGCAGGAAGCATAGTTTAAATGGATGTACAAGAGCGATTCGTACTCAGGGTTGTTGTTAGCAATTCACTGTTGCCTAGGAGGATGTAATAACGAGGCCTTTACTTAAATCAATTTTATGCTAACTGATACACTTTATAAAATAGATTGGATTATGCAATAGATATTTCATTTAGAAGCAATCATCACCGATAAAGGCTGAAAGTGTTATCAAAAGAATAGGTTAGAATAAGAAGTTATTTAAATTAATTGTTGAATTTAGGTGACGTAAGTGGGATTTGCTTCCTTAAAGGCAAATAGAAAATATTGAACTGAAGTAAGTAACAGACAGAGGCTAGAGGAGACCTGGCTAGTTGTGGTAATTCTGTGGAAAAGGACATGCAGATTCTGGTAAGTGGCAAGCTAATCATGGGTCAATAATGTCATGGTTTTGTGAAAAAGCAAATTTCATAATAGACTGAACAAATAAGCATTCCCAATGAAATTCACATGAAATAACCTTTTACTCTAATTAGGCCTAATAGGTCTAATGAGATCTGAGCTGGAATACTAAATCCAGTTTCAGGCACCACACTTCAAGGAGGTTGGAGGCTAATTGGAAAGAGTCCAGTGGAGAGAGACAAGAAAGATGAGAGTGCTAGACAACATCATTTTGTGTGTAAAAATTGGAAGGCTTTGGTTTGTTTAGTCTGCAGGAGCAACGACTAAAGGAGGATTCACGTTTCTAAAAAGCCATTGCAGAGAAGACAGCAAAATAACCACAAAGCCTTGTTCCCCAAATCCCCTGTTCATAAGAAGTAATCGCCTACCTTTAGATCAGGCATTAGGAGAAAATAATCCTGAT